GAGAAGTTAGACAGCATTTCTTTAAAAAATAGATTATAGGTTACTTTGAGATAAGGGTTATAAACATATGATATACAAACAACTATTTAGGTTTTTAAATGGCATTCGTGTCAAACTGAACCAGTAATAAAAATGTGTAACTCAGGAACAAGTATAAAATAGTAAATGGGATGCTGGACTATCTCCTTTGGAGTTAAAGTTTTCTTTCCCACTGAGCCATGAAACGCATGGGGTGATCTTGGACTAGGTGTTCACTCTTGTTTTGACTGATCTACATCAAGGGCTGTTGTGATGATTAATTAGAGCAGAAGAGGGATATGTACATCATCCTGAACTCATGCGGGTGCAATGGAGGAAAAGTGGAGGGATACACATATCAATTCTGAATCCAGATGATTTCAAGCTTTTCTGTTTGAAATAACTTCAAGCATACCACTACCTGAGAAGTACAAATCATAAGGAAGGTCTGTAGCATGAATTTGGCCGGACTCACTATGCATGGCATCTTATTTGCTAATCCTAGCTACAGTAGATCCACTCAATGAACTGTTAGATGCTGAGTCACCATGTAGAAAAATCTGTTGGGTTCAAGAAGCCTACTCAAATCAGGACTAAAAGAAGATTTTGGGCCTATGTGCTGCATCCTTCTTAAATCCTCTTGTAATATATTCCAGTCATCTGCAAGTCTTCTAATATATTCTAGCAGTCTGCAAGCATGCATCTCCTATCAACAAACCTGCCAGTATTATGAGGAAGGAAAGCTCTGGGAGAGTGACAATGTTGTCAAACAGCAATACACCCCCCCCCCATCCCAGCTCCCTGTCCCTTTAATATGAGGGTTGAATAAAAAGTAATGCCTCCACCTTCGTAACTCCTCAACAGATGGCAGTACTGGTATGTGGCAGGTACTGGCTTGTTCAGTAGACTCTCCTCTACAGTTCCATTTTGGCGGGAAGCCTTAGCATTGAACGGTTGTGTTGTTAAAGTGCAAAGTATGGAACCCTGCGCAGATGGTCCGTCAATGTGACTCAAGCAAAGTGCAGTTATTGAATTCTTGACAGCAGAAGGTGTCGTCTCAACATCTTTAAATTTACGCACCCAATGACACACAGTACTCACATCAACATAATCACCATAAGCAGCTTGCATTCTCTGATGAAGGGTGACACCTTCTGCTATCAAGATTTCAGTGACTGCACGTTGCTTAAGTCGCATTGACTGACCATCCGCGCAGGGTTCCATACTTCGTACTTTAACAGCACAACTTTTCAATGCAAAGACTTCTCGCAAAAATGTAACTGTAGAGGAGAGTCTGGGAGAGAAGGAAAAAAGGTGAGGGAGGCGGGAGAAGGGGCAGGAAAGAGGAGGAAAGCTTGGAGGAGGAGGAGGAAAGCATGGAGCTCTCAGTATGCTTTGTGGAGCCCCAAGAACTCCACAGAGCACACTTTGAGAACCACCGCTCTGCATGATCACAAGGTGCTATGTTGAGCTATGGTAAGACAGCAAGAATTCTGTTGAATGGGGCACTACAATGAGCAACCCAGAGAGAAGAAACAGCTTGTTTACACATTCTAGGCATCCTAGGTTTATGCATTCAAAACCTTTGATCTGAACGACCAGATGAAATAACAGTAGAGGAAGCCCGTCTTTATCGCTATGATGTATTTGTGTCAGTGAGTAGTCATGCAGTATCACTATCTGGCAAGAAAGACAGAACCACATTGGACATTTATCAAAACTATTATTATAATAAGTAATTATAGTTGTGAACTTTAAGTCATACACATTAGAATTACGCAGAACATACAATTTGTCGTGCTCCATTGGGTTCATTAACATTTATCAAATGTAATAGAAAAAAAAGAAGTTCACTTTCAAAAATGGAAATAATTCTATTTAGAGAATGAACCTTGTATTGTGCAAATAAATGTGCCTTCATTTTAATGGCTATGAATTACCTTTTCACATTTTATGTCTTCCAAATCTCAGAAGAAAAGGGACTGGATCTTCAGCAGCAGAGAAGCTGCATTCATTTTGGGCACATAGGGATTTAGATTTTTATTTTTTTTACCCAACAGCAGATAGCTTGACTCCTGGCATTTATAGCTAGAGGTAATGAGAAATGTACTTAAACGTTTTGTCAGGTCATTCCCTCATGTCCTAGGTCAGGCAGCATTAAAAACATGAATTTTACTCTGATGCCTGCCATGATTAAAAACATTACTACGGTTAATCATAAATCAGGCATTTCATCAATTGTTTAAATGTTTAATGACTGAAGCTACAAGGCATTTGCAGTTTTTACTTAACACAAGTATCATCTCTGCAACAGTCAGAAAGATGACCTTAGATGTATGGCAAAGGTTCAAACCGAAAAAAAACCAACTAGATGAAGAAAGACAGAATCATTTTGATTATTTTATCCTTGTCAGATATATCAGCGTTTCTTAACCTGGGGGTGAGGACTCTTGGGAGGGGGTGTCGCAAGGGGAGTGTCAGTGGGTCTCCTAAGACCATCAGAAAACACATATTTCTGATGCTCTTAGGAACCCCTTAGGCAGAGAGGACTGAGATATCTCTGCCTGTATTTCTCTTCCTTTTTGGAAACAGAAGATGAATCCTTCCACCAACAGCCCTCCTCCTGCTGTGATTGGCCGGCCTCTCAGTTGGCCTCTCAGTCAAAGGGAGGGATGTTCCTGAGACTTCAAGTGGGGAGGAGAGAGCATGTGTACTCCGCACATGGCAGCGTGGTGCTAAATTTGTACCAAATTTGGTTCAGATCCATAGTCATTTGGGTTCAGTGTGCTCTCCAGAGGTAGGTGAACTACATCTCCTCTAAATCACTGTCAATTCCTCCCAAATCCCTCCAATATTTTCTGTTGGTCATGTGGTTTTGAGTGGGAAGTTTGGACCAATTCTATCGTTGGTGGGGTTCAAGGGACTTTTTGATTGTAGGAGAACTATAAATCCCAGCAACTACAACTCCCAAATGTGAAGGCCTGTTTTCCCCAGACTCCACCAGTGTTCACATTGGGGTATATTGAGTATTCGTGCTAAGTTTGATCCAGATCCATCGCTCTTTGAGTCCACAGTGTTCTCTGGATATAGGTGAATTACCACTCCAAAATTCAAGGTCAATGCCCACCAAACCCTTCCAGTATTTTCTGTTGGTCATGGGAGTTCTGTGTGCCAAGTCTGGTTCTATTCCATTGTTGATGGAGTTCAGAATGCTTTGATTGTAGGTGAACTATAAATCCCAACACTACAACTCCCAAATGACAAAATCAACCCCGCCTCAATCCCACCAGTATTCAAGTTTGGGCATATCGGGTATTTGTGCCACATTTGGTCCAGTGAATGAAAATACATCCTGCATATCAGATATTTATATTACAATTCATATCAGTAGCAAAATTACAGTTATGAAGTAGCAACGAAAATAATTTTATGGTTGGGGGTCACCATAACATGAGGAACTGTATTAAAGGGTCATGGCATTAGGAAGAGTGAGAACCACTGAGCTAGATAGTCAGATAGGATAGACGGACAGATAGACAGATAGATAGATAGACACATAGAGTTAAGGAATAAGTCCTAATTCGCACATAATCTCCTCCCAATGGCATTAAAACTATAAAAACGCAACATTTGTTCCTGGGTTACAAATGTCATTTCCTAATTTGGTCTATCATAAAAATATGAGAAAAGTTTATTAAACTACAAAAATTTGTTGCAGTCTACACATTGAAAGGTTACAAATGGCATATTTTTATTAAGGAAAATTACAAATGATGCGCCAGACTGAAGAATATAATAGTACTACCCCCAGCTACAAAAATTAAGTTTCTAGAACATAACTGCTTTCAAAGCAAGTACCACACAATTAAAAAAAAAAAACAACACTTTCAAACCAGGAACAAATTTTGTTACATAGTGTAATCATTAGAAAGGTACTTAGGAAAGGTTTCTGTCACTGCAACATTACTGAAGTCACCCCTCCAGTCTCATTCTGACTACATTTTGAGTGCACACTTCTGTGTTCCTACATATCGTTCAACCCATAATTAAAAAAATCTATTTATTACATGGAACGAAGCGAAAGACTTCCCCACTTGTTTCCCAAGAAGCACATGAGTGGGCATGCTATGTATGTCCCTCCAGTTTTTGATGGACTTCAACTCCCACTGGTTATGCTGGTAAGGGCTGATGTGAGTAGCAGTCCTTCAACTTCTGCAGAGCTGTCAGTTGCCCAGCCCTGATAAAACTGATTAACACATTATACATGCATGAATGCATACACACATAACATTTTGGCATAACTCTCTCCCTTGCATATTAATTTAATAAAAAATGGACAGGGTTATTAAATGGGCAGCACTAAATAAAAGGAACATCCAATTAGCAGTCTGAATAGCCAACCAAGTTCAGAATTCTGCCCTCTCTGCAAACAACAACTCTTATTTAAATAAAGGAAGGAATCTATGCATGTAAAATGAACACAGTCTTCTCCACTAACATACATTGGGAGTGCATGCTAAAAACCACAAGCCAGGACACATGCACACACTGGCTCTTCATTCCCCATTCTGACTTCTAAACCTGCATGTGGACGAATGCTTTCCATGGCTGAGTCAAAGAGACAGATAGACTGAAGAACACACAAGGGTTTTTTCTTCTCTGAATCCCTGAAGAGTGAAAAATTGGCTTGCAGTTTGTACAGAAATCATCCAATGAGGAGTATTCTACCTACTGGTACATGGCTTTGATTTTTAAAAAAACTAATTGCAATGACTATTATTATTATTATTATTATTATTATTATTATTATTATAGCATTTTAAAATTGTATGTGCCCATTTTAATTTGCCTTCTTCAAAGTCCTTTAAAATTATGCTTTGAGGAAATCTGCTCTGAAATAGAGGAATCTGTTTTTTGGAGTTAATATATTCATTAGTGACAAAGTGCACAATTCAAAAGCAATTTTTATAGTAAGTACTTACCACTGGCTGTTTTGTTATATCAACCAAATCTTTAATGTTATAATACTGATGTTTTTCAAAAGCTGAAAAAAGCATGTCCAGCACTTGCTGCTTTTCAGCCCGCGCTCGCTTTCCATCTTCTTTCTTCTTCTTTTCATATTCAATCTATCAATTTAAAAAACATTTTAATACTTAAGTTATCTGCTTCAGGTACTTCACTTCAATACTGTCCTGACATGTGACACTAGTTAGGAATTCGAAGAGCACAAGCCAATTGGGAAGGAATCCACATGAGATTGAAGTAATAACGGATCGCAGGCCCACAAACCTTAGAGTTCCAATAGTTGTTAAAATTGCTTTTGGCTACCGCCGTGGCCTTTCTGAGCTCTTGATTAGCAAGAATTGCAATGGCAAGTGTTTCTCATTAACTGTCTTGTTAAACTGCTGCCATATAGCAACCTTCTTTCATAAGTAAAGGTAAAGGTTTCCCCTTGACATTAAGTTTAGTCGTGTCCAACTCTGGGGGGGGGGGGTAGTGCTCATCTCCATTTCTAAGCCAAAGAGCCGCCGTTGTCCATAGACACCTCCTAGGTCATGTGGCCAGCATGACTGCATGGAGTGTCATCACCTTCCTGCCAAAGTGGTACCTATTGATCTACTCGCATTTGCATGTTTTCAAACTACCAGGTTGGCAGAAGATGGAATTAAGAATGAGAGCTCACCCCACCCCATCAGATAGGTTGCAGCTAAGTGTTACTGGATATCTTTATGTTTTATATTTTGAACTATTAAAATGGCCAGAAAGTAATTGCTGCTTTAATTAAACTGTTTGATACAAACTGAGTGTTTGTTTGGTTCACCTCTGACTGCATAACGGCAGAGCCCTGGCATCGTGACAATTAGCATTGGTGTTTTGTTTTGTTTTTTAACCCATTAACATTAAAACCAAAAATTCAAAACATTAAGAGCAGAAAGTCCAGGATATTGAAGTTATCCTAATTGGCTTCATATATGACACTTATAAAATCTGTGGATATAGATATTAACATGAGTAAGTTAAAACATTATCCACTAAAATTATCAGTAATCTCATGGCAGATGATCAAAATAATTACAAAATTTTGTAATTATTATCCCCATATCATAGGGATGAAATTAAAGCTCGCCAAGAGCTTGTGCTTTATATACAGCCATGCACTACGTTCCATAAAGAGATAATATTTGAACTGAACTTATTTATAGATCAGACTCCGGCACTAATTTGCACCAACTCCAAATTGTTAATCTGTATTGGTTAATTATTTTAATTAATGTACTGCAATGGTGGATAGACAGATGGAAAACAAGGAATCAAATATTTTTATACATCTGTTTACACATAGTGTTCTGGTAGGATCTCAGTTTATGTGGAACAAATTCATTAAGGGTATACTGGACATGATTCAGTCAACACTTTTAATAACTTAACCCCTACTGGGTTTAATGGGCTCAATCCAAGACAAGTGAGTATCAAGTTACTGCTTCTCATTGGGAGAGAAATAAACATGTTTTAACTCTAGCATATAGAATGGTGCTGGCTTTTCCCTACATTGTATCCATTACATTTTCTCCCCAGTTACAATTATTAGAGGCATTTGGCTACTGTTGATATCAAGTGAACCTGTAATAATAATATGGAAGCATCAAAGATACAAAAGGAAGCACACTTACAATCTGGAGTTTTTAACATAAATGTATAAGCATATGCTACGGGACTGTTTTATAATATAAAATCTTATATATGTAATAAATCACATTGATTTCAAAGGGACTTATTACCAGCTAGGTATTATGGAATTCCAGCCTTAATAATTCAGTTTGTATGTATATTGGAATGAAAGTGAATTTTTTTATTTTAACTTTAGCTACTCAGCTAAATACATCACTGCAGGCTTCTGATATCAGAAGATGAAATACTATTGAATATTAAAAGCAACTCACATTATACTGATGGTTTGCCACAGGTTTGTAGTTTGTGGTTACAGCTTTATCCAACTGCATTGTCCAGCTTACAGGTTTGGAAGATTCTTCAATTTGTAGCCTGAAAGAGTAAGAAGTAAAAGTCATGAAGAACATCATCACATGTTCATTGTCATGGATACAGGAGACAGTCCAATGTCGGAGTTAACAGATCCACCCAACACAGCTGGAACATCTGACAACCAACTATTAGAAGATTAAAGCACCTCCTAGCTGGGAGTCTACCACCCACTCCCTCTTTACCTCCACTTAACCTGGGACAGAGCTAGAACAGTAGAAGGACTCTTCCTTCTACTAAACAGGTTTCAAATTTATTTTTCTTCAAACTATGTTTCTTTCCTCAATAGATTACTTTAGATACAAGCTTATTCTATCTTTGTGATATTTCTGTTGTATTAAAAGTTCTCACTGGGTTTCTCTCACTCTTTCTACTCATACACTAACTACTAATATAAATAAGTCAACTCGACTTATCTAAATTACCTAGGCTAAAAGTCAAACCCTTCCTGATTCTCACTACAATAGAATCAGCCTTACCCTATAGTTTTTAAACTACAGACTACCTCCCTGGTTCTCACTACCACAGAACCTGTAGTTCACCGGCTACAGACTGGCCTTTTAAAATGGCTGCTCTGCCAAGTGGCAGTTGGCTCTGCCCCTTTTTCCATAGCAACCCAGTTCAAAGTGAGCTGAGCTGGTTACCATCCCCCCCATTTATGCTACTCTAAATACTTACCCTTTCAATGCCTATCCATAACTATACATAACAGTAGCTTAAAATTTACACTTCACCATCACACCTGTTTTTCAATTGTAAATGTGCGTAAGTGTGATAAGAGGTAGGAGCTCTGAATAAGATTGCTTCCCAGGTCTTAAGTGCTAGGATAAAATGCCCTAAGTCACGCATGGCTCTCAAATAGGGAGGCAAGGAATTCCATAAGGCAGGGGCAGAAATAGAGAAGGTCCTGCGTCTGGTGCTTTCCAAGTGCACTTCCCTAGGACCCGGTATATAGAGCAAATCGCGTTGGGATGGTCATGGCGACCTCCGATGGTGGTAGAAGGAGAGACGGTCTCTAAGATACAATGGACCCTGGCCATATAAAGTTTTAAAGGTCAGGAGCAGCATTTTATACAAACCACGATACTCAATTGGGAGCCAGTGTAGATGCCACAGCACTGGTGTTATATGGCATTTCATGGGCGTTTTTGTGAGTAACCTGGCTGCAGCATTCTGGACAATACGGAGTTTTCAGGTCGTAGAAATAGGAAGGCCAACATACAAGGCGTTACAATAGTCCAGCCTAGATGTGACCGTGGCATGGATGACTGTTGCCAGAGCCTCATCCAACAGGTAAGGTGCCAGTTGCCTCGCTTGTCGTAGATGGAAAAAGGCCTGTTTGCTGGCCTCCGGGGTTCCATGCAGAGTAATATGATCCCATGGAAACCTTTTTTTTTTAACCTGGATCATTGCCTCTTGTATTATTTGGGGTTTGGAGCAGAAGGATTTTTCCCATGGGAATAGGAGGTTTAAAACTGGTGTAGTCTCCTTTAATGTAAGGGGCTTTGGGCAGGGCAAGGGATCTCTTGGTTTTTGGATATTGTTGTTTCTCCTGATTAAAAACAAAAAAAGTAATACTGATCTTGTGATGAATGTAAGATGAATGTATTACCAGCTCTCAAGCTTCCACATGTGAGTATGAGTGTGATGGGGAGGCAGAACAAAAAACGAAACTGCTGAAATATAAGAGGGGGCAATTCTCTATGTTAAAAGGACGGTTACCCATGCTTTCCTCTCTCAATGTGATGAGGTTGTCAGATTCTCTGATTCAGCTCAACCACATGGGGGTCAAATGATAAATGCAAAGCCCAAATAAAACTTCTACGATGAAGAGCATCCTTATTTCTGCATGGGGCTAATAGGAGCTTTCCTGAGAATCTCGACGATAACCTTCAATTTAGCAAATGTTCTGCTAATCTCATGTAAATGATATGATATTCCTTCTTCCTCAGAAATTGTGCCCAAATTGTCTGCCACTCTGATCTGAGGAGCAAGGCCATCATTTGCTCTATCCCCTAGTGCAGTGCTTCCTACACTGTGTGTTGTGCCATATTAGTGTGTAGGTCTATAGGTGTGTCATGGAAACTGATGTAATGATCATACATAGGACCTTAAGATCATCTGGGGAGGTCCTGCTCTCGTTACCACCTTTGTCACAAGTACGTTTAACAGAGACGAGAGACAGGGCCCTCTTGGTGGTGGTCCCTTGGCTGTGGAATGACTTCTCTATTATATTAGACCGGTCACCTCCCTTTTAACATTCCGGAAAAAAGTCAAGATGTGGCTTTTTGAACAAGCATTTGCAAATGCAGAGTAACTGACATAGGAAAATGGAACAATTAGACAATGAGTCCAGACAACATTTTTAACAAGAAGACACTATGAATTTATATTTTATTGATTTGTTTAGTTTTTATTCTATGTTATGTTTTTAATTGTATTTATGACATTGTAAGCATTGAATTTTGCCCCATTAACCGCCTATGAGCTGAGAAAGGCGGTTTACAAATACAGTAAATAAACAAATAAACACAAATTATATGTTTTTAAATATATAAATGAAAAGTTTTCATGAGATACATTGTGTCCCCATATGTTTTGTTATTACAATTTATGTATATGTCTGTATTTCTTATATGGGGTTGGTTTAATCTCTGGATTGCTAGTAAAACTGACTTTCTTGCTAGAGTCAGTGACATAGCACATCATCGGGGGAATGCAAAATATGGTGTTTCCAATTATAATGGCACCCAGAGCTATACATTACAGTGGCATCCCCCCCATCCAAAATGCTTACAGTGGCATCCCCCCATCCAAAATGCTTCCACAAAGTGTGTTAAAAGAGTTCATAGTAAGTATGTTCTGGTGATGGCTATCATGAGTTAACTCCATAAACACCACGATAATATTGGTGCATCATATCAGGCTTACAGTTATTACTTCATTAATGGAAAAGATGTGCCAGCTCTGAATAAAAGTGAAAAAACATAAAGGCAACATCCTATTCTTGTATTACGTGTTGGTCCCAATGCATCATGCTCAAGAAGATATCACTTCATGATCTCTTTAGTTCATTAAAGAAGAAGTGGCCATCTGCCAACAGCATGTTAAAAATACTCTATTATTTCCAAAAGTACAATGTCTCTTAAAACACGCTGTTGCCACATTTTGTCCCTTACACCTACCACTGTAGTTTTCTCTCCAAAGGCTAGCATCTCTTGCACGTTCCAGATTGAGTGGTGAGTCATTCGATTCTGTTATTTTCCTGACTTTTATTATAATGACAACAGGCATCTACAAGCATGACTGACTGCTCTGTGTGATATGTACATCCAAAATGGAATCAAACAGAGACAGGTATGCATAAATACCAAAGACTTTATGATAGTGCAATTTAATTTCAAGTTTGGGTGCCTTTTAAGAACATTTTTTTAAAAAAACTTGCAATTATTAATAGCTTATGTTTCTCAATAAAAGAGCCAGCAAGGTGCAGTAATTTGAGTACTGACTTATAGCCCTGGAGTCCAGAGTTCAAATTTGCCAGGGAAACACATTGAGAGATTTTAGGAAAGTGACAGACTCTCCGCTTCAGAAAAATATAAAGGCAAACCCACTCTAGATAAAGTTTGCCAAGACAATTCTGTGATTAGTTTATCTAGGATGGCCATAAGTTGGAAATGATTTGAAGGCACAAAACAACAATGGTTCTGGCCCAGCTTTTATGTCCGAACGTATCTCTCTCTATGAACCACCATGGAGTTTAATATAATCTGGGGAGGCCCTGCTCTTGGTCCCGCCTCCCTCGCAGGCGCGACTAGCAGAGATGAGAGACAGGCCCTTCTCAGTGGTGGCCCCTCGAATGTGGAACTCCCTCCCCAGGGATATTAGATCAACCCCCTCCCTCCTGACCTCCCGAAAAAGAGTGAAAACGTGGATTTGTGACCAAGCCTTTAGAGAACTTTTGGATCAATGTGCAATGATCATTGGAACGGCCCTGATTATGCTCATGGATTACGTGTAACTCTGAATGTATTGTTTTAAAATGTTTTTATTGTTTTAAATTTTTATTTTAATATTTATTTAAGTGTACATTGTGTTTTAAGGCATTGAATTGTGGCCTGTATGTAAAGCTGCCTTGAGTCCCCTTCGGGGTGAGAAAGGCGGGATAGAAATGTCATAAATAAATAAATAAACAACAACTTCTCAAAGAAGGGGACGAAATACAAGTCATATCTTATGTAAAACACAACCATCGTGTTGTGGTGAAAGGTGTGGAAGACTACAATCTTATTTCAGCTACAAAATTTAGATAATAAAACTGTTGCTTTGGGCTATCCACATAAAAGCACACAAAAGCTCAATCTGTTACATGAGCATTATTAAGAATTATCTAAATGATATAAATGAAATGTTTGAATGCTCATGAAACCCCATATAAACATCACATGAATTGTTTTATTAATCCTGTAGAAATGGCCTTTCTAAAGTAGAAAAAATAATGATGCACCTGTAACTGTCTGAACTTTCGTCTTAGACATAGGCATGCAATGAATCCCACATAGTTGAGTGGGACTATAATGGAGATTGTAGCCAAAAAGTGATTTCAAGGGAAGCAAATGAAGTGACAGAGAAAAGGAAAGATAACACAGGGGGCAGCAAGGTGCTGAGATAAGTTAGTAATTAAGATGTTAAAGTGACTTTGAGCGTTTTGTATGAAAACACTCTGTGTTTGGCCTCTAGCAAACATGGTAATAAATAAAGCACTAGACCATGGCAACTAACTTGTTTGTAACCATACCGAATACTTTTTAAGAAAGAAAGGAAAAGGCACAAGGGAGAAATGCAAATCCTTTCCTCTGCTTCATTATTGACTGTAGTGCATTTAGTCATACATTAAACTCACCCACCCCCACAATTATTTGCCAAGGCCCCTTCGGAGCCTACGTTCTGTTGGCATACAAAGCAGCCACACCGGCAACCTTCCAGTCTTTATCAAACCACAG